GATTAAAAATAGTCTTACACTTAGGAGTTCAATTATAGACGACTTTATGTTAGCTACACAATGAAATAATACAGAGCCATTTACTAGGATTCAAGCATATATGCTCATTGACATTGCAAGATTTTCATACTTTATAGTTAAAAGGGTTACAAAAATGAAAGTTGAATAGGATACCTGTTCTAAGTCAAGTATATATGACTTAAGGTACTCATACCCAGCCAATCTAGTAACATTAAATGAAGAGACTCCAGATACAGACAAGAAAGCTTAGATTTGTTTCTCCCTGCTCCTCTCTGCAAAGAATAACTAATACCTGAGGTAAAAAACAAAAGAAAACACAACAAAGGTCAAACGAAGGAGAACTGTGAAAGTTGGAAAGAGGAAAGCAAACTGGTTAGGGACCCTAGGTCTGGATGAGCAGTATAGCATCAGGACAGAAGAAGGTAGCCCAGGCCCGATGTTCTCCAACTCTGAATCCAGCAACAGAGGGTGGCTCTGGAGGGTTCATTCTCCCTGGATTTAATGCAAGTCCTGCTGACAAGCCCAGGCTAGCCCAGTGGCAAGGCGGACAGTGTGGGAGCCTCCTGACAGTCAGTGGCTAGTGGAAGTGGGCCAGAGATTCCCTCTCACACCTAGATGCACCAAATGGCTGTAGCCTGGGGAATCTCCTGCTCCTTCAGGCAGCACTGCTGGAGGCTTGGGAGCCCCAGTGGCACCAAAAAAACTAAGCAGATCAAAGTAGCACTGAAAAGCCTCTGAACATTAAATTGTCATTGGAACCTCATCCCACGAAAATAGGCCAGGATCTGCATTCTAAACCTAAGCCAGGTGACTACCTGATAAAATTAAAGACTTAAATAGGACCTGGAGTCTCCTAACATAATAGCCCAAATATTCAGGATTCAATGGAAAATCACCTGGCAGACCAAGAACCAGAGAAGTAACACCTGAATGAGAAGAGACCATGGATTGATGCTAACAGCAAGATGAATCAAATGTTGGAATTATCCAGAAAGAATTGAAGACAGAATCCTACAAAGCCTTCGGTAATCAATACCAAATCTTCTTGAAATAATGACAATATTGAAATTTCAGCAAAGAAAGGGAAGTTACAACAAAAAAAACAAATAGATATTATACAACTAAAAAGTACATTAACAGAAATTAAAAAACAAAACAAAACAAAAACACCTCACTGGAAGGGTTCAGTAGCAGATGGAAATGACAGGACCAAATCAGCGAACTTGAGGACAGAACAAGAGAATTTAATAATCTGAACAAATATTAACAAAGCCTCAGGGACCTTTGGGACCATAACAAAAGTTCCAACATTTATGTTATCAGAGTCTTAGGAAAGAAGAGAGAGAATGGGGATGAGGTTTTGAAGAAATAATAGCTAAAAACTTCCCAAATTTGGCAAAAGACAGATTCAAGAAGCTGAGAAAATCCTGAACAGGATAAAGCCAAGAAAATCCACGGCAAGACACATTCTAAATTCAACTTCTGAAAGCTAAAGACAAAGAAACAAACTTGAAAGCAGCTAGAAACAACACCTTACAGAGGAACACCAATTCACATGACAATGCACTTCTTTCTTGTTTGTAACCATGGAGGCCAGAAGAAAGTAGTACATGACATTTTTCCAAGTGCTGAATGAAAACAACTGTTAAATTCTGTATCTGGCAAAACTGTCGTTCAGGAATGGAGGAAAAAGGACATTCTCGGATGAAGAAAAACTAATAGAATTTGTCCTGAAAAGATCTACCCCTTAAAGGACAGTTAAAGGAAAAGAAAGTAAAAATAGCTGACATAACTTTCTGAATAGGTGACATTCCATCAGAGGCCTAGAAAAATGGGGGAGCAAAGTGAGGAGGTGTATTCCAGGCAAAGAAAATAGTAACTGAATCCCAAGGCTGCAGTGGGTTTGGTGTGTTCAAGGGACAAGAAAAGGGCCATTGTGGCTAGTGGGATGCATCCAGGGGAGAGTGGTGGTAGGAGACGGAGTTGGAAAAATTAGCCAAGGACAAAATCTTATGGGGGTTTAGAGCTCTTAGTAAAAAGTCTAGATTTTTTTTCTGCCTGTTATAGAACACCTTTGGAGGGTGTCAGTGGGGTTTTAGCAAGGAACCCATGCAATCTGGCTGCAGAGCCTGTGCTTTTAACGTAGACCAGCGGTTCTCAAACTGAGCATGCATCCACATCAGCTGGAGGGCTTGATGAACCATGGATAGCTGGGCCCAGCCCCAGAGCTTCTGAGTCAGTATTGTGAGGTAGGGCCTGAAAATCTGCATTTCAAGTAGGTTCCCAGGGTATGCTGCTGCTGCTGCTTCCGGAGCCAGACTCAAGAACGACTGCTCAATATAATTGACTTTGAATGTGACTTCCCTATAGCACCTAAGATGGAAGAGAGGAGGGACTTTCAAATGTACTGGAATAGTAATGATATTAAGAACCACGTATGTCACTCTTGCTATTTATTAGATATTTATTTATTTATTGGCTGTGTCAGGTCTTAGTTGCGGCACACGGGATCTTTCGTTGCAGTGGGCAAGCTTCTCTCTAGTTGTGGCCAATGGGCTCCAGAGTGCACGGGCTCAGTAGTTGCAGCACCTGGGCTTAGTTGCCCCACGGCATGTGGGATCTTAGTTCCCCAACCAGGGATCAAACGGGTGTCCCCTGCATTGCAAGACGGATTCTTAACCACTGGGCCACCAGGGAAGTCCCACTCTTGCTACTTAAGAAGACAGAGAACAGAAGAGTAGAAAGAGGGAGGGAAAAATTTAACACTTACTGGATATCTCCTATATACTAGGCCTGTGCTAGGCAAGTCATATAAACTTCATACAAGAGAATGAGTAGGCTGTGATATCGCCAATCTTACAGAAGAGAAAACTGAGGCCAAGAAAGGTAAAGCCACTCATCCAAAGTTACACAGCAGGAATAACTAAGATGGAAAGAGAATTCAGGTTTTTCTATCCTTGTGATTTTTTCTCTAAGTCATATTGGAAATACGGTCTCTGAGGGCATTTGGAGAGAAAATGTCAAAATGGTAGAAAACTGAAATCCTGGGCTGCTGTCCAATGTAGGGCATAGGACTGTCCTTAAGAAGGAGGAAGTAGTGATGTGAGGAAAGGAAGGGACAACTAGGAAGATGCTGTACTTGCTTTACCTTGAGAGAGGTGGCCATAGAAGAGGCGTCACTTCTCCTTTCAACAGCCTTGGATTTCAAATGTCAAAGGGGATCAGTTCCAAGTAAGAAGGTTCTATACCAAAATCCACATGGGCACGGGGAACAGAGAATGGAAGTAAGGGGAAGGAAAGGAGTCCTGGATTCCAGGCCCATCTTCCCCACTTACCTGATAGAATGGTTGGCAAAGCGGTTCAGCTCCCTGAGCCTGTTGCTTCTTCTCGAAAGAGAAAAGATAATGAATAATGTGTGGTTTGACAATGGCGGTGGTGGCTATTAAAGTCTGAGAGGTTTCAGTGAGAACAGAGGTGTCACCACTTTGTAAACTGTGATGCCAATGTGAGCAGTCGATCCCTTTGATGGTGGCTCTTCTCCAACCACAGATGTGTTCCGTTCACAGGCTTGATCCAGATGGAAAGTGTGAAAGTGAAGACATTAAGTTTTTGATGGAACCTTCATCGAAGGGTCTCTGCTGGGCCCCACCAGAGATTCTGATACATTGGTTTTGGGGTAAAGCTCATGAGTTTGCCTTTCTAACCAGCTCCCAGGTAAGGCAGATGGGAGGGGCTGATCAGATGGCTCTGTGCCGAGGTGTGCTATGATAGAGACCAAAGCAGACTCCCCAAGCTCAGCCTGTTATCTAAATAATAATAACCCTGAGATCTTTTGAAATGCCTATTCAGGGACCGCTTCTCCCTCTGGTGCGATTTGTTAAACCTTCATGTTTAACAACTTCCCCAGGTGATTCTGACAGAGATTGGAGAGCAAATGAAGAGCAACACTGACTTACCTTTGTCAGGCAATCAGATGTTACATGGTTGTACATTCACAGCACCCAAAGCAGAATGCCAAGAAATTCTGCACGTGAGGTCACAAGCAAAGCTCCACTCCTTTCTGAGGCCCAGAGCAATCATGTCACCCTCCTGCTTGAGCCACTGATTATTTGGTGCTAACAAATCCTGAGTGGAGCAGTGATGGTTTTCCCAGGCCAGACCCAGGCTACCTTTTCAAGCCTTTCCTCTACCTGACATGCGTCATATGCTTGAGCCAATCTAACCTGTTTTACTTACCCCTAAAAAGAGCCTTCTGTGTTGTTTTCTCATGTTTCACGTGTCCAGTCGCTTGCTGAGGAACGGAGAGACCAAGGGCAGCTCATGAAGGCTGCACCTCAGCTGAGCTTTGAACAGTAGTGTGACTTAGGGCAGGAAGAGGTGGGGATCAGTGCACGAGCACTCATCTGCCGGAAGCAACAGCTTGAGGAGACTTGGGAAGAAAGGGCGGGCTGCAACGCAGGTCATGTGATGGTGGCCAATGAGCCCGGAAAGCCAGGCTGGGGCTAAGTGAGGAAGAGCCTCCCGTGGTCGTCTCTGTTTATGAGCCACGTGGCAGCAGCACACAAACGCACTCCTTGCCCTGAACCTAAAAGGATCAAAGTCCACTGATGATAGAGGGATGAAAAACTTAATATGCTACCACAGGAAAGAAAGAGATGAATTAATACTCAAAGGGGAGGCAATGTGGAAATTAAAATACGTAACCTGTATCTTTTTTTATTTTTATAAATTTATTTATTTTTGGCTGCACTGCGTCTTCGTTGCTGTGCGTGGGCTTTCTCTAGTTGCAGAGAGTGGGGGGCTACTCTTCATTGCAGTGCGTGGGCTTCTCATTGCGGTGGCTTCTTGTTGTGGAGCACGGGCCGTAGGCGTGCGGGCTCAGTAGTTGTGGCTCACGGGCTCTAGAGCGCAGGATCAGTAGTTACAGCGCACGGGCTTAGTTGTCCATGGCACGTGGGATCTTCCCGGACCAGGGCTGGAACCCGTGTCCCTTGCACTGGCAGGCGGATTCTTTACTACTGCACCACCAGGGAAGTTCCCCGTAACCTGTATCTTGATTTAATTTTTGATCACCCACACACCCCTTGCAGCCACCTCAAACTGCAGTGGTTACCCTGACACCTCTGAAGGTGCATTTGCCAGCCCTGATTTCCCAGACTTGACTTACTGGGTGTGCCACATACAAGGGCAGAAAAGTTACAAGAAAAAAAAAGACTTAATAGAGATTTTGTACATACTGTGGTCTGCTCCTCCTATCTGAGCAAATTCAGGCAGTATTTTCTTAGGTGATAATAATTTTAATAAAGCAATTACATATACATACGTATAGCAATTTGTACGTATAAGAAAATCAATACCTATGAATCTCTAATATATATAATATGTAATTTAGGTTTTTATTAACATGGAGAAATTAAGAAATGGATGATCAGGAATTAAAGTTCATCTGAATTATTTCTACTACTATAATCATGAATATTGTATTTATTTTAATTACTTTAGAAAACATAGCATATGTGTTCTAGTTATAATTATATTAAAGCAATTTGTGAATCAAAGAACAGACCACAATAATCAGAAATTGTATAAACTATTTTTTTTTTTAGAAATTGTATAAACTATTAATGAAAGGGTTCAGCTTTAAATGAGACACATTTCTCCTGAGTGCTGAAAGAAATGCTACCTAATGGCTACATATGTTGTTAATAAATTAGGAAAAGACTGATAAAAGTAATATACAAGTCCTCATGTCCCTAAGGTCAGAGTGATTAATAAATGACCACACTTTATATTAGTTTTCACTTCAAAGAACTAAATTCATCAAAATACAACATACTAAATGAGTGTAAACCATCCTTTTTCATTTTAAATATTAGATGAAAAAAATATATTTTTATTTGTTTAAGACAAGTACTTTCCAGAGTGGATGCATTTATTTTTCAGATGCAAATATATCACCTTACAACACATATACAATAGGTATAATTTCTGAAAATCATGTCTGCCAGAGAGAACTGCAATCTCCTTGATTCATATGCCTTAATCCTTCAATGCAGAACCTCAGCATTTCACACTTTAATCAGAAAAGGGCTCTGGAAAGAAGAACCTGTATCAGCTCAGAAAAGGAGAGAATTCCTTCTACTTTCTGAGTTGATGGAGATCAAACAAGATGACTTCTCTCATTTTACATCAAACATAAAATCTAAAGTAATAATCCTAACAAAGAATAGTCAGTTCTAATTTTTACTTTTCTATCCATAACTACAGTGTGACAGAACACAAAATTAATGGCCCCAATGTAAACCAATTTTACACATGCCAAATATCCCATCTGATTTTTTATCTGAAATAAACAATAAAAAAGGTAATATGGTGATCTGAAATTAAAGGTTGCAAGTCCTAAGTACCCAGTTTTCTAAGATCAATTAGAAAAAGAAACAATATCAATCAAATATTCTAAGCATTTTGTATACCCGTAAAACATAAGGTCTTTCTGAAACTTAAGAGTATTCCAATCAAACACATATAAACTACCAACTAATGAAAAGCATTAGAAATTCTTAAAAAATCTGAACACTTTAAGCAACCCAGAGGTATATGTGAATTTCTTATAAAAGTGAAAAATATGGAAAACAAAAATAATTTTTGACCCTATCATGTTAACTCTTAGTGTACAGGATGAGATTTACAGTAACAGTCAGTTAAAATGAACACTGAGACTGCTTTACGTAAGTAAACGGTGATCCTCAAATGACATTAAATACCTGCTTTTCATAAACTTTTTTGGGGGGTTCGGCTTTGTAATAAATATGTAATAAGTATCTGTAGTACTTTGAACATGTTCAGCGCTATCTTTCTCCATTTGAAAGTCTTTCTCCAGAGTCATAATGTCTTAGAGGCATGCCAGAGGGTGGGGAGTTGGGACTTTGCAGCAAGTCCACTAACAAAGCAATCTTATTATCTATGTGCTCCTGGAGTTTATATATTCGCTGATCAATGTAGTCCATAAGTTTCTTTTCCATCAGTTCCATATTTTTAGAAAGAATCTTTTCCAAGTAGGAACAAATGGATTGCTCTTCCATTCTAAAAATAAATTAAAAAAATAATAATAGAGCAATTTTCCCTAATATTATAACAAAAACAACCAAACTATAGTACAATAAGCAGCCAACACACATTGCTAAAATTTGTCTCCACAACTATACTCTGTCCCCTTACAACATATTTCCAGGTTCTAAAATACATATGCAACAGGCAACCACAATCCTGAATGCCCAAAGGATTCTTACTTCTTTAAACATTTAAGCATCAATTGAAATGAGAATATAAATATGAAGATGATAGAATTTCTACCCTCAAAGAACAGGTCTTTAGATAGAAAGGGTCTTTCTGGTTTTGAGCCTCAAATCAAAAGCGATCTTACTGACTTTTTTTAAGGTCTCCATGTTTGTCTTCCAAGTTCTTCCCCAAGCAACCCTACAATTTAAACAGTTTTCTCTTTTTTCATCCAAACAACCTTGCTAAAGCAGTGGAAGGACAAGGACAGTGAACTTCAGAGTGTGGTCCACAAAACCCTGGGGTCTCCACGACTTTTTCCAGGGGTTCCATGAGGTCAAAAGTATTTTTATAATACTATATTAATAATAATAAATAATAAATAAATAATAAATAAAATAAATAAATAATAAAATAATAAAATATTATTTGAACATGAATCGTACAATGAATGTACAATGAATTATCCAGAGGCTATACCATGTATAATGTCATTACTGTGATAACTAATAGCATGTATGGTTGTATATTCTGTTTCCTAGAATTCCTTAAGGTAGTAGGTTTACGGTACAGATAAATGTTTTTTTCAGAGGTAACTCAATTTGTTCTCAGTATTTCTACTGTGGTCTTACTAGCTATGTATGTTTATACATGCTATAATGCAACATATGAGAATACAATCCAAAGCTAATAAAGCTTTACATAAATTTAAAACAATACCGAACTTCCCTGGTGGCGCAGTGTTTAAGAATCCGCCTGCCAATGTAGGGGGACAGAGGTTCGATCCCTGGTCTGGGAAGAGCCCACATGACATGGAGCAACTAAGCCTGTGAGCCACAACTACTGAAGCCTGCGTGATCTAGGGCCCGCGTGCCACAACTATCGAGCCCACGTGCTGCAACTACTGCAGCCCACGCACCTAGAGCCCATGCTCTGCAACAAGAGGTCACCACAGTGAGAAGCTCGCGCACCGCAACGAAGAGGAGCCCCCACTCACCGCAACTAGAGAAAGCTGGCGCACAGCAACAGAGACCCAATGCAGCCAAATAAATAAATAAAACTATACAATTCTCACTAAACTTTTTAAAAAGAAAATATGGTATTTTTTCATAAAAATGTTTATGTTACTAGGTAATGAGCTTATTGCTATTTCTAAACTAATAAATATTTTTATATAGCCTACATAAATAAAAGTTCTTTGGAGTGCTCAATTATTTTTAAGAGGGTAAAGACCAAAAAGTTTGAGAACGACTACTCTAGAATATATGAGGAGCTTTTTATTTTTCTCTTTATTTTCAAATAATTATAGATTCACAGGGGTTGTAAAGATACTATAATTCCCCAATGGTCCCAATCGTTACATCTTACCTAACTATGGTATAATATTAAAACCAGGAATTTGATGTTAGTACAGTGTGTGTGTATGACATTTTATCACATGTACACACATTCATGTAAACATCACGTTCTTGACAGAATCAAGTTCTGTCTCGATTGTAAAAACCACAGTCAAGAGACAGAACTATTCCTTAACTACAAAGATCTCCCTCCTGCTACCCTTTTATTGTCACATCCACTCTCCTAATCTCCTCTATCCTTAACACTTGGTAATCACTAATACAGTCTTCATCTCTATTACTTTGAGATTATTATAATAATCTCTATTATTACACAAACAGAATCATATAGTATGTGACCTCTTGAGATTCTCTTTTGTCAATCAGCATAATGCCTTTGATAGACAACCAAGTTGTTGCATGTATCAACAGGTCATTCCTCTTTATTGCTGATAGCATCCCATGATATGGATATACCAGGGTTAATTTAACCACTCATCTATTTTCAGACATACTGGTAGTTTTTGGCTTTTACGAATAAAGCTTCTATGAACAACTGTGTACTGGTTTTTGGTTTTTATGTGGAAAGAAGTTTTCATTTCTCTGGGATAAACCCTCAGGAGTATGACTGCTGAGTCACATGGTAACTCTATGTTTAGCCATTAGAAACTGCCAAACTTATTTAGAGTGGCTGTACCACTTTAAATCGCCACGAGCAATGTACGAGAGCTCCAGTTTCTCCACATCCTCATTGGTATTTGGTTTTGTTACCATTTTTAAACTTTTTATTTTAGCCATTCTGTGTAGTGGTTTCTTGTGGTTTTCATGTGTGTTTCCTTAATAGCCATGAGATCAACAGCACTTCTATTCATGTGCTTATTTGCTTTTCGTACATTCTCTCTGGTATAATATCTCTTTATGTCTTTTGCCCATGTTCTAATTGGATTTTTTTAATGTTGAGTTTTGAGAGTTCTTTCTATATTTTCAATATAAGTCATTTGTTGGATACGTATTTGCAAATATTTTCCCTCACTCTGTAATTTGTATTTTATTCCTCTTAACAGAGAAGAGCAAAAGTTTTACATTTTCATGGCATCTAATATATCAAATTTTTGATTACCCTGCTTTTGGTGTCATATCTAAGAAGTCTTGTCTTGTCTTAGGTCTCCAAAGATTGTTTCCTATGTATTATTAGAAAAATTTTATAGCTTTATGTTTTACATTTAAGTCTATGATCCATTTTGAGCTAATTTTTATATAAGGTATGAGGTTTGGGTCATGGTTCACTTTTTGCCCTTCGGATATCCAATTGCTCCATCACCATGTGTTAAAAAGACTATTCTTCCTTTATTGAATTGCTGTTGCACCTTTGTCAAAAATCAGTTGAGCATATTTTTGTGGGTCTATTTCTGAGCCCTCCATTATGTTCCATTGACCTATGTGTCTGTCCCTCTGCCATCACTACATCATCTTGAATACTCTAACTACATAAGACTCGACACTGGGAAGAGTGATTCCTCCCACTTCATTCTTCTTTTTCAAAGTTGTTTTAGCTATTCTACCTCTTTTGTTGTTCATATAATTTTTAAAATGATCCTGCTTATGTCTGCCAAATATTGTGGTGGGATTTCAATATGCATAATATTAAGCCTGCATATCAACAGGGAGAACTGACAACTTTACTATGTTAGAAATTGAATTGGTAATTTAACAGTTTCCAGGAAAGAAATAACCAGGCCCAGCTGCTTTCCTTAGAGACTTCTACCAAACATCTTAAGAAGAGATAACACCAATTTTACACAATCTCTTCTAAGATGTAGAACTCATCTTATGAGGCCAGTATTACCCTCGTGAAAACTGGACAAAGACAGTACAAGAAAAATACAGACCAGTATCTCTAATGAATTAGATGCAAGAATACTCAACAAAATATTAGCAGATCAGATCCAGCATTGTGTAAAAAAGAATTACAGCCCACAACCAAGTGGGATTTATTCTAGGTATACAAGGCAGGTTCCATTTTTGAAATTAATGTAATTCCCCATATGAACAGACTACAGAAGAAAATTCATGATCATATGAATGGCCATAGGAAAAATATTTGACAAAATCCTATACCCATCTATGATGAAAGAAACTCCCAGGTAACTAGGAACCAAGGAACACTAAGCCTCACAGTCCCTGAGCAATCTGACTTCTTTCCACCTTTTACAGTCTTTGTATGTTTGCTGGATTATGTCCAGGGATTTTTATTGGTAAAAAGGGGGATCTGAGAGAAATGGGGACATTCCACCTCAGCTGGACACAGGAGCAGTTTTTAAATCTGTTTAGGTTTTTTTTTTTTTCCTTTGGGTTTTATTGTTTGTTTGCTTTGTTTTACTGTATCACAAGTTAACATTGATTAGACTATCAACAACTAAAGACTGGAACGTCCCTGGTGGTCCAGTGGTTAAGACTCCGCGCTTCCAGTGCAGGGGCACGGGTTCAATCCCTGGTCGGGAGACTAAGAACTAAGATCCCGCATGCCACGCAGCACGGCCAAAACAAAAAAACAACAACAAAAAAATTAAAGACTATTGTTATCTTTCCTTATCCTTCCCAAATAAGAATCACTTGTTCAATAACGTCAGCTCCTCAAATTGAATGCTACTGGAGACATTAAGAAAGTTTCAACCAATACAACTCCCTCATTTTACATGGGAAAAAAGGCTAAGCCAAAAGATTTAAACAGTAAAGCAATAGTTAAGCTAGAACTATGATTAGAGTCCTGAATTCCAATCTAGCGCAAAATTTGGACACATTACATCTATATAAAGGATGGGGAACATACTAAACACTTAGCCACCCCTCAAGCAAAGCAGGACTGGAAAAAATTGGAATTATGAGATCAGGGGATAAGGGCCTGTACACTAGAAATAATTCAGAGCTGAAAAATGTTTGGATGACTCCGAAATTAGCCTAGGTCACACACGATCTACAGAGGAAATCTGTTTCAATGGCTCACTTCATACAATCAGGCAAAAAATGTACATATCATGGTCACCACAGCTCCTCTCCATTCATGCAGACAACTCTCTACTCTGACCCTATCTGCTGCTTGTACCCCTTCCATCAGACGCCTGAGAAGTGCGCGGCACCTCCAGTTTTACCCACTTCTTTCAAAGCAATCCATCCTAGTCTGCTGAGTGTTTCTTTCCTATGTGTTAATGGTGAAATGTAAAAGCTCCTAAAATCCTCTCTGGAAACATTTTCAGGCAGTAGTTATTGAAACAAACCTGTTTTCCTCCACCTGCCTCCCCCCTCCTGCCCCCAATCTAAACCACACTTGTCTTAGATACTCACGCAACACCAACAGTGCCTTCGCCGGGCTTGGTGATGCTTTCCTGCCACTTGGTGTTGGGTCCCACACGGAGATGGTTCACTTGACTACACAGATTCTGCAGAACAGGCAGCAACTCAGAGTTAGGTATATGTGAGTTGTCACTTGCTTTCTTTGGTAACAAAGAAGATACTGCATTCTTAAGATCATTCTCAGGAAGAGAATGGTTTTGTGGCACAATTTTACACTCTTGGAGGCTTGTCATATTTCCTCCACCAGCTGGCTGCGTACTTTTATCAATGTAAGCTTTTAAGTCTTCAGCCACGTTTCCAGATGTCAATCCAGTCCTGGAGGGGAAAGGTGTGGGGGATGACTTGTCGAAGGCCCCTGAAACAGATGGTGATTGCAGGCCGGTCATGTGCTTGAATCCAGTGCTTCCCAAAGCTGACTGAAGCTGCTGTCCGATGGGAATACAATTCTAAGCAAGGTAGATAAGAAAATGTTATTATTGACATGAGTGATGATGACAGGTAACCTCTGGAGTAACTCAGAGTCAGGCAACCTGCCTACTTTCATTTGATGCCCAGAACTTTCACATGGAGTAGGCTATAGCTACCATCCCAATATCAAGTTAGGAAACCAAGACTAAAGTTAACTTGGCCAAGGTAACACAACTAGTCGGTGGCAGAAGCAGGACTGGAACCCAGGCCACCGAACTCCAGAGTCAGGACTTCTAATCGTTTCAGTAGTTTTGCTAAGGAAAATATTCAAATAAATACAAGCATACTTAGTAAATTTGCACGGGCTTATTTTAATGTTTCCACTACAAAGGCCTCCTTAATATATGGTAAAAATGTAGTATTGTCAGCTGAGTCACAGTAATTGATAATTTCATAGAATTCAGAGTCATCTGCCCAGCGTCACACATGGTAAGCCAACCTAAGGACATGCAACTTATTTTCACTGCAAGACAGACCAGATAGTTACATATTTAAAGTACGATGTTATATGAGTACTTCTGTGACATTTTCAATGACTAAAACGACCTACCTTTTGGCTAAGTCTGCCTTAATAATTTGTAGGGTAATGATTATGTTTTGTGGCCTCAACTCAACCGGCTATGGTATATTATTTCCTGAGAAGACTCAGGCTCACCTTTGAGAGCAGGTTACACTGTCTCCTACATAGGGCCATGCTCTTGCTATGCTCTTCAATTTTTCCACAAGAGAAAAGCAAAACTACCTCTAGCCTATCTAACTGTTAAGTTATACACCTCCATCCTAAATTCTAAACACAGAACTGTACTAGGGATTCTTATAAGGGATATCATCTCATACTTAATGTTGCTCAGTATCTAGTGAGAGAGACTGAGAAAATTACACAAGATTAGGTGAAGACCCTCAGTCCATATATTTTCTGGATATTCTAAAAAATGATTCTTGGATTAAGCCAGCCCCAAACTCATTCATTCAAGAAATATTCACCACAAATCTACTCTGTGTTAGGTACTGTCTCAGTCACTGGTAATAAGCCAGTGAACAAAACAAATGAAAATTGCTGATCTGTGGACACTACAATCTAGGGAGCAGGGAGAGACAAACAACAAAGAAAAAAAGAAAGAAAGACAATACATCCTGTGAATAGAGATGGTGATAAATACTTTAGGGAAAATATAGCAGGATAGGGGAATGACGGGAGCAGGGACGTTGGTAGGGTGGGAACAACAAAGGCCCCACGGAACTTCTACTGAACTGCCTGTTGGAGAAACTCTCTTTATAAAGAAATCTTACCTTCTTCTATTGAATGCAAGTTTTGAAAAAATCTTAAATTATTCCTAAAAACGAGGATTACATACAACTATATTTACAAAATTTAAAAATTAGACAACTCTCCTTAGGTGAAAAGGAGCTTTATTCAGTCATAAAGGAAAAACTCAATTATTTTTGGTACTGGCAAAATTCTGGTACTGCAAAAAAAACTTTATGATAGAAAATTGAAAATTCTACAAAACAGCAATCACATAAATAGTGGAATCAATGTCAAAATCGTACACAAAAATTAATTTGGCAGAAATTATAATTTAAAAATCCAAATGCAATTAAGACATGCTATATGAGTTTTTCTATTTTGATATACAGTAATATTATAATAAATTCACTGATTATAAAAATTAGTCATAGTTTTCTCAGATAAAAGCTCTTACGGTGATTATTTTTCACTTTGAATTAAATGTTAAGAAATTCACAGGTTAATCTATATGGCAGTGCAGTAAATGACCCAACCTTAGTTGCTGATGACTATTCTTCTGTTCCTTTTGTTTGACTTTATTCAATTCTTAATTTTCTTGAGCTGTCGTATGTTGTCTTGCAAGGCACCTCAAACCCTTTTAAAAGTAGGCAGAAGAATATGTATAAAATAATTCATACGTACTTACTGTTTAGGGTCCGTGTCATATTTTATGTGAAAAAAAAAATTACAGAGCAGCCTAAAAAGACATGAAAGCATTTATGTAGAATTGTGTCCACATACTTGTACATGTGTATACTTAATTTCATATATGTACACATAGACCCCCGGATTTTTGAAAAACTGTTTATCTCTGAACATCTTGTAGGATTTCTCAAGACACTGTCTTTAACTTTTTTAATTATAAAGAATTTGAACAAGTTTCACCTTGAAAATGCAAGAAAAAAGATCTTTTTACTTTTTTAAGATGAAAAAGGTAAACAGTGAAAACCTTGAATAACTGAATATATTTTCTTTGAGAAAGTCGGGCACAGCTTTCCCTCAGATAACATTAAATGACAACTATGCCAGGCACTTTGATTCAGAATTCCTACTCAATTATTCTAAATTGCTAAAGCAAAAACAAATGAAAGTCAGCACATGTGAACTTCAAATACAAGGAAAGAAGAAATCACTTTAAGAAACATTCCAGGAAACAAGGAACCACAAGGCAAAGGTGAAGCAGGGAGTCTAGAAAGCTGCTCCCCAGGTCCTTTCTTTCCTCATCAGGACAGGCCCTGCCCCAATTAACATATGAAGGTCCCAGACAGTGTGGGTTTGCACCCCTTCCATAGAAGGAGAGGTTCTGATCATGAGACATCCCTACTTTATGCTCAACAAATAGTTACAGAGCTTATATGACACTTTCCAGGAAGACGTTCCATGGATTCCTTGTTTGTGGACAAAAGCAATCCTAGAGAACCAGGTATATCCTGTGAGAATCATTCATAATATAGCCTCCCCACGAGAAAGAAGACTTTTATTAGCATGTTTAAAAGACGATTTAACAGGATCACCTTCTTTCTTCCCCAGGGGGTTTCCCAAATGTCCCCATAGATAATGATTTAGCACGTGTGTTGGGGGGTTACAACACACGTGCTGTTGGTTGGAGGACTTGTGTTTCTATATGATAGAAAATGCGACAAGGACACACACCAAGCTTGGGAATAGGATGAGAGTCGGGAGAGCCCTCTTACAACAGACCTTACGTACTTGTGAGTGGACGGAAATTCATAGCAAAGAAAATGTATTAGTTTGGGAATGAAACAAAAAACCCTAAAAACATGGGCAAAATCCCCCACAAACTACTATTCACGTCATTTCTTTTCCAAAGTCAAGGTTTTAAAACATAAAAATCAGTCCATGAACTGATTTTACTTAATTCATTAACCCTCTCTAATGTTTCCAAAATTTTCCACACACAAAAAATTTCTTCTGTTTTTAAATGTTTAATCTCTATGTCCACTGGATCCTTCCCCTCAAACATCTGTTCTTAAAATATGCTATGCATAAGACTCATCTGGCATTGCCTGTATAAGATAGGTGAGTCCTGGATCACAACCTCAGTGTTTCAGGTCACTGGTGAGGGCCAGGATTCTGCACTTTATAAACATTCCAAGGGATTCTGATACCAGCAGGTTCCTTATCCCTATCATTCTTGAAACAACCCACTTTACCCTGGCTACCTCCACATTCTAACTACCCATTTACTATCTAATCCCTCAAAATCTGGTTTCCATCTCATCACTATTCAAACTGACCCCCTGAAGATCTCCAAGGAGTATTTAGTTGATAATCCAAAGGGCATATATATTATATAAAATTTACTCGGAGCCATAAACTAGACAGACAGGTCCTCTTTGCACAAAGCTTATATCTTAATGAGATACACAGAACAACACATAAACAAAAACAGGCAAGAAAGCGCTGATGAAAATATATGATACACATTTGGAGGAAAAGGCTAATATTTTAATCAGGGTGGTTAGGGAAGGTGTCATTCACGATGGAACGTTTAAGATGAGGATGAAATAGCAAGAAAAAGGCAGACTTGCTAAGACCAGGAAGAGAGGATTCTGGCCAAAGAGAACAGTTAAGAGGGCAAAGGTCCTGGGGTGGGAGCACGTCTGGATGTTTGTGGAATACCCACATCAGAATGTCTAGAGCAAGGCATCTAAGGAGATGCAGCAGGAGATGAGGCTGAGGAGGTAACGAGGGCCCAGATCTCAGATGAGAGCGTAAGGAACCTGGATTAGTTCTGAGTGTCAAGGGAAGCAGTCAGGGGGCTTGACACAGGGGACGTGGAGTCCGATGAGGTCATGCTGGCTGCACTGTGGAGAGGGAGCGTGGTGCAGGAGGACCAGCTAGGAGCCTCCTGAGGTATGGAGGTGAGATGCTAGTGCCAGAGCAAGGAGAGTACGGACGCTGTTCATTTCACAGCTCTCCTTTCCATGCTTTCCAAGATCATCAGCAACCCTCCTGCTCTCCTGTGTCTGCCTGTCGATCCAACGATCCTCGTCCTAAATTAATATTGGCAAATCTCACAAAAGTTACGCAAGCTTTTAAACTCATATTATTGGTTTTTACTTTCATCCTATGATCTTACCAGTATTATCATTTAGATTGTAAACACGAAGAAATTTATCCTCAAAAAGAGGAAGCGATGCCAAATAACACAGAACTAAGAGCTTTGAATTCAGGTCTCCTGATATCAGATCTCTTGCGACTCTTAAGCACTGCTGTGTTCTGCTCTTCTGGTTCCCTTTTCCTCTCCCCATATTCTTAGCAAACGCACCTACTCTCCCAGGGTCTTCCTTCCTGGCTCCGGTCTCTCCCCTCACCCACTTCCCCATCATCTACTAGGCATGCTCCTCCCAAACCTCCCTCCACTCCACCAGCCCCACCTGTGTTTCCATAGCCTCACTTCATCATCCCAGGCCATGTGTTATTCACACCTAAAACTCAACACTCCCAAATTAAACTCCTTTCCCCCAAGTTGCTTCCCCCCTTGGGTTCCATGTATATTATGGTAACACCATTTTCAAAACTTTAGTTTCACGTTTGATTCTGTTTTTCTCCCACAGAACCCATATTAAGTTAGTTGTCAAGTCCCAATGGCCCCACTGTTGTAGCATCTCACAATCAATCCAGCATCAGGTTACTCCTTCCAAGTTTAGACTCTCATTAACTGTCCTCTGGATGATGGAAATAACACAGAGCTGCTTTCCTTCTTGTAGCCTCACTTTCTGCTGACGCATCTTTCCTACTGACTCATCTTACACATAATAGCGGATTAAATTTATTAAAACAGAGCTAAAAAACACCCACAAACTCTATAACATCATTCAAAATCCTCTAAGATCCAGCCCCAGTCTACCTGAAACTTCCCCTCTCACTTATTCACTCCAGAGAAATGAACTTCTATTCATTTCCTAGCTACATCCTATTCCTCTAGCACTGAAGATTTAATCCATACTGTTCTCTACCTCTTAAGTTGCATCCCTCCAAGTTTACTTGCCTAATCCCACCCTACCTCTTTAAAGGCCTAGACAAAACGCTACTTCCTTTAATAAGCCTCTCTTAGCATTCCTCATCATTCCCCACTTAGATACCCTGACTCTCCTAACAAGACTACAAATAAAGATCCTTAAAGACAGGCTGATCTTTGAATCTTCGAAAGTGAACCAAAACAGTGTCTTATAGTTCAAGAAGGAGCTTAATAAATGCTTGCTTAATGAATGAGCAAGAGAATTCATAGAAAACTGTGAAGTCTGTGCCAAAAACATTTTTTTTGCAAGATGCTATTTTTACCTAAGTCAGTAAAGGTAACAGTCAAATCAATAATAAAAGTTGAGGGACTTCCCTAGTGGTACAGTGGTTAAGAATCCGCCTGCCGATGCCAGGGACACAGGTTCAAGCCCTGGTCTGGGAAGATCCCACATGCCACGGAGCAACTAAGCCCGTGTGCCAGAACTACTGAGCCTACACGCTACAGCCCACAAACCACAACTATTGAGCCCGCATGCCACAACTACTGAAGCCCCCACGCCTAGAGCCCGCACTCTACAACAAGAGAGGCCACCACAATGAGAGGCTGAGCACCACAATAAAGAGTGGCCCGTGCTTGCTGCAACTAGAGAAAGCCCACGCACACCAACGAAGACCCAACGCAGCCAAAATTAATTAATTAAATAACTTATTTTAAAAAACACAAAATTTAAAAACTAAAAAAAAAAAAAAAAGAATTCTGAACCAAAATAAATTGTTAAAGAAATACTAAAAGTTGAAAGGAAAAAATTTATGTCACCACAAGTCTTTGTAAGAATCCATTATTTAAAGAATTTTAATGGTATTTGGAAAGAAATCCATTTCTACTCACCTGCTGTTGGAATCTAACCATATTCATGAGTTGCTGAGCTCCAGGTGACAACTTTGACCCCAAGGACTCCATGATGGTTTGGACCCTCTCCAGGTCTATCCTTGATCCTAGAGCAGGACAGCCTGCTGAAGAATTTGCCGAAACTGGCCTCACGTGTACCACAACTTTACTGATGAATGCACACTGCTTTTCACCAAAGGAGAGCAACTAATATAAAACAAAAGTTCAGGAAAATTAATAATGATAATAAAAACAATCATCATTTAAGGTCACTTCTTGTTAATACTGCGGTAAGACTGAAGCATTCAAGAATCTGAAAATTAACTTCAAGTACATTTTTAAGTTTTCTCTAGTCATAGTCAGAAAAAGGCTAAAAAGTACTACATGAATTTAAAAAGTCTTACTGCAACTAAAAAATTAAGTGTAAATAATGTTTTACTTAATAATTTAAGGAATTAAGGATAAACTATACCAATCTGAAACCTTAACATACTGAAACTTGCTATAATATTATTTAATACAAAATAAGACTCTCTAGAAACCCATGCAAAGTATTTGCTGAAATACTAAACATAAGTCAGTATTTTAGAACTTAAAAGGAATTCTAAGAGAATGTCCAGATGACTTAAGAGAGTGCAATGGTTTACATATAGAAAAGATGAGTTCACGATGATTTTCTAACTTGTGAAAAGAGTAAATAAAGGTCAAGCTTTGACCCTAGCTCATCTGGCTTCTATCCCAGTAGCTATTCCAATGCTTTATGCTTCTTCACGTTGTCCATGCTTCTAAACCAAAAGACATTTCATGTTTGGTGTAGGACAACAAAGTAGCAAAGTGGAACAAACACAGCATTTAGAATCAGAGAGACCTGTGTTCAGTGATGGCTCTGCCTGGGTGACCACGGGCAAATGCCAAACTTGAGTCAGGAGTAAAATGAGTTCACATGGTTGTTATGAGGATTATGTGTTAACATTTCCAGTACTTATCATTGAGTAAGTGCTCAAACGCATGCATCAGTAACTATTACTTTTAACTTACATATACTATTGGCCCAGAAGAAGCCTTCATACAAACCCAAGGATTTCCCTAAATGAAACACTCTTTCACTCCCTGGTACTTCCACAGCACAGTTTCAAATACCATTCGCCTTCACAGACATAACAAACCCATATATCACACAAAGACACAGGCGAATACAGACCCATGATCTAAAAACTCAGTGTGGCACCAAAGATGTGACTGTCATCAACAAGTAAGTAAATACCTCATGAAATGTAAACACCCACATTCCAACCTCCATATTATCCCTGTTCTGCTTTTTAACCCCCAAGCCCTTCTCACTAGCGAATGTAGTACCTATTTTACACACTGAGTCAACCTATTATCTGTCTTGCCCACTATATGAGGGCTCCATTCCAATTTATTTCATAACTGCCAATTCCTAAATGCCAAGTACAGTATCTGGCATCAACAGGCACTCCAGTATTTGTTGGATGAATGCATTGCCTTATTTAAATGACTTCAGAAGCTATTAGTATATACACCTAAAACAACATCTTGGGATAATCAGTTCTGTGCTCTTCTGTAAGTAATGATCAGCATAGAATTTTAGAGATAAAAATAATCCAAGATTTATTTTCCTTAGTCCCCTAATATTACCCATGAAGTAGGTCCAAACAGGTGAAGAAACCTGCCCAAGGTTATTCTGCTAGTCAGCAAAAGAGCTCACTTAATAGTCAGGGCTTGGACTTCCCTGGTGGCGCAGTGGTTGAGAGTCTGCCTGCCAATGCTGGGGACACGGGTTCGTGCCCCAGTCCGGGAAGATCCCACATGCCGTGGAACGGCTGGGCCCGTTAGCCATGGCTGCTGAGCCTGCGCATCCGGAGCCTGTGCTCCGCAACGGGAGAGGCCACAGCAGTGAGAGGCCAGTGTACCACACAAAAAAAAAAAAAAAAAGTCAGGGCTTATGATTTCCAGCTCCGTACCCTTTCCCTAGATCTGATAGCATCAGGAAAGTTCACCTTAACAATATTTTTCATGCTGAAGACAGCAGTCCAAATCCCTTTAACTTTGTGGTGCCCTTGTCCGAAACTTCTCTAACTATATTCTATCTTTCTCCATATTTTGGGACCAAAACTGCTTGTGCTTTTTTTTTGGCACCTAAGTTTTATATAAAGACAAAAAATCTTTTAAACTTATGTATTATTGTAAATAAACTATACCTCGATTTAAAAAAATTTTTTCATCACAGTTTTTCAAGGCTTAAAAGTACAATACCACTGTATTATCAATCGTACATGTAATGACATTGCTGTAAATAATAAATGTTCAAATTTTGAAAGAGGTAGACAATTATTTAGAAAATAATTTCTTTTTACATGTTTACTAAGTATTTCTGAACTAAAACCAGGGACCAAGTTGGACTAACTACATTACCAAACCTACAGATAATAAGTATATATAATAGAAAAACAACTGTAGTTTTCAAATTAGTTAAAATTTAGGAATGACTTACCTTTATTTTACAAGCATGTGTGGAAGACTCCAATTTTAGATATTTTTTGTACAAAATAATCTTTTCATGTTCACTAAAAATAAAAAAGATTTAATTTATAAAAAAATTTACATATTATCACTTTTAACAGTTACATTTAAAATTAAAAGTTTCCAGGACAATATTTAAATCCTTGGATTCAGTTTTCCTGGTGAGGCATAAATAGCTGGGACTTCCTACTGAAGTGCACTGACTACAAAGAAAACATCTGCCCCTTACTAGCTGTATAAGAAAATGAAATTAGATATCAAATGTATACTTACGTAGCACAGAGCACACTGTAAAGCTCAATAACATACCCATTATGTCCAACATGCACGGTATATAAAACACTTCGTATTTTGATTCATATTAAGGAGAGATTAGGTCAGAATCTTTGTAAGAAATCAGAAAAAAAATTCAAGAAGCATAAAAATGGGTTAAATAAGTATACTGGTATGGCACAGTGTTGGGCTCACGCACTATGTGTAAAGAGTTTCCTACAGGAAAATGTTCAAAGTTCCAGACTGATAGACAACTTAATTTTTGGAAAACAGATCGCTGTGAGTTAAAGAAAACAGACAAGAAACACTTACCAGAACTTCGTCTGATCATAGTCTTCCACTAACTAGCTATGATCTTTTATCAACTACTCTCTCTTCCACTAGCTTCAGTTTTCACGTTTATAAAAACAACTAGGCTGATCTAGACTGTCTTTAAGATCCCTAAAGGTCTAAACTTTTATGTCTGCTGGTATGTTTTTATCTTCTCTCCCCTAGTATCTGGCACCAAGGTCAGATACAATGTCAGAGAATCAATAAATATCACAAAAGCGCAAGAAAATAAAACACTACTTCAGAAGAACACTTCCACACGCATACATCACAAACCTGTTATCCAGAACATTACAAACATTCTTGCCCCTACTGGTTCCACAGTACTCCTCTCCTGAGTATACTTCCATATTTCTTGCTGAACTTAAAATGCCAATAGAAACGATTTCTTCACCTCCAGGAGGGTCACATCTCAGGTAAAGGAAGCAGGGGTTTTCATCTTGGCTGTTCACGTTCCTTTTCAAAATCACCAGATCCTGGCTGAAAAGAAAATGAAGAATATTATACAGTTCTCTGAACACTGTCATTAACCCACTTAATGGGCCACAGGGGTTGACATGTTATCCTATTCATTTACATTTGCATTTGGAGTCCAAGCGCCTTGCAAAGCACTGACGAAATGCTCAATACAGAATTCCCAAGGAAATGATGCTTTAGAGGTGAGGGCTCTCCACTCTCTTTTCCCTTGACTTCTGTAATACATTCTAAGCGACTTCCTATAATTGCCTGTCCAGTTAATGAAATATATGTACTGGGCAGCTAGTGTAAATTAAAAAACAGTTCAGAAGTGGGGGTGGGGCGGGGTGCAGAATGGAATAAAGGACCAAAGTGTGCCATTTTCAAAACTAAGCTGAGGAAGATTTTCGACATCTGGATTTTTTTTTAATGCCTCTTTTGGTCGACAGGAGGTTTTTGTTTCGGGACAGAAAGGCGGTTCTTATCCCGACAGGGGGCCTCAGGAGCCGACGTGACGGACACAAGGGGGAAGGGGGTATAAAGCCGAGTCTTCAGGTCACCTGCCCCCCGTCCCCTGCGCCCGACGCTCACGCCGGAGTCGCCTCCTCTTTCCCGCGGGCCCGCCCCCACCCTCCCGCCACCCGGGACCTGACCCCTCGCCGTCGCCGCCCGCACAGACCCGTCACCGGCTCGGCTCCGGGCCCAGACCCTCTCCCCTCACGGCCCTCGCCTCCCCTCCAGGCTCCCCCAGGAGCGTGGCTGGCACCGAGCACAACCCCAGTCCCCGCCGGCCCGGCGCACCCGGTGGCAGGCGGCGCCAGCAGCTCCTCCCAGTCGGCGTCCCGGGTGCCGAGATCAGACCGGGTGAGATGGAGACTCTGGGCCAGGGCTCCGCACGCGGCATCCCAGGAAGAGGCCAGCGGCGGGCGGCGGGTCAGTGGCGGGTGTGCGGTCTCGGTCTCCATCTGGCCACCTACACGCCAGGCCAGCTCCGGAACCTCTCTTACAGCTCTTTAATTTCCGCCAGACTGAGGGACTGTAAAGGAACAGAGCGACTTCCGCCTCGTCCGGCTGCAAACCCCAGAGCCGCAGCTTCTTGCCGGGGTGGGGAGAGACCAGCTACCGTAAACGCGCATGCGCGCGACGGCCGGTTTGGGCAGATGATGCAAAATCTGCGGTGGAGTGCGGGAGAGCTGGAGTCCGGCGCATGCGCACTGACGCCTGGTCCAGCTGCTGGGCTGTGCGCAGGCGCGATGCGGTGCGCGTGGGAACCCAGTGGTGGTTTGACGTTGGCCCCGGAGATGTCGTGTGGATGCCGGTGTCTGGACTGACCCGCATGGTCGGTCCGGTGAGGAGAGTACGTCGTGAGGTAGGTGTGGTGTCGTGGCTCTCGAGACCTGAAGGACCTCGTCCCGACCCTTGCTGTCTGTGTCGCGGACGCCGAGCCTTTCCGCGGACTGCGGTGGGGTGCGGGGGGCTGGGGACGCGCCGGCCGGGCGGTGGAGTTGGCTTTTCAGAAAGTCCTCAGCCCGCTCCGCACACGCGCTCTCTCCTCCGAGGGTGTCAGGTGGGTGCCGGTCGTTCGGCTTTAGCTGAGGAGGAGGTTGGGACGGTGTCGCCCTTGGTGTGGGGCCGGGGCGGGTGGCGTCTGAGGAGGGTCTGTGGCCCTGGCGCTTCGCCCTGTCAGGTGGCCCGGGCCGCCCTCATGTCCCCCGGGCCGGGTGGAAGTTGGAGAAAGGCCTGGGCCCGAAGCGGGGTGGGGTCTGCTCTCCCGGCCCCGGGAAGAGCGAGCAGGACGGCGGCCTCGGGTCTGCGGTGGAGCAGAATGCGAGTTGGAGCTGAAAGACCCTGAAGCTTTGGGTCCGGGGAAGTGGGAGCGGGTGGCTCTTTCCAGATTCCCCCGGGACAGGAAGGTAGATGGTTCCTCCCCACCGCCACAATCTGTCCCCTTCCTGAAGAGGCCTGTGCAGATGAGTTTTCCACCTTTTGAAAGAAAAAAGGGAGTTAGAATATAGAAAAGTGGAATGTCAGAGTTCCAAAGGCCTTGAGTGTAAAGGGCCTAATTTGCAAAGGTGTTTTAATACTGCCGACGCATTCTCGGTTGTCTACGTCAGTATTTTTGTCTTATAGTTCCTGCTTCCTATATATTAACTTTAATTCACAGGAGCAGCTTTGGACAGCCCAAAGAAAATAGGCTCTTTTTCAGAAACACCCATCTCCACTTTAAGGAGCCAGGTCAGTACTATCACCTGGACTTTGACTTTCTTGAATAAGGCTGAAGGACCAAGAGTCAGGAAACTAGACTCCTATTGTCTCCCCTTTTTTTTTCGCACAGCCAGTAAATCACCAAATCTTGGTTTTCTTAGAGGAAACCTGTTCTATCTTTCTTCATCTCTGCTTCTTCTGTTTTCAAGCACTAGCTTTCATTTGAACAGTTCCGGGAGCTTCTTTACTGTCATCAGCCTTCGTTCTCAACCACTTCCACTCCATCCTCTGCACTGCCCTCTTCTCCTTCCGGTGCTTGCTGCTCCCACCTGCCTCCCTGCCCTCCCATCTCCCCCACCTTTGCGCAGCCTTTTCCCTCTGGAACGCCTGTTCTTTTGGAACAGGGAAAATCCTGTGCATCGTTCAAAATGAAGCAGATCCCCACTCTGCTATAGAATTAAACTCATTCCTCTGTACTACTCTTATACTTTTAATTTATGTCAAAGAAAAACCCAAACTGGACAGTAAAAGCAGATTTTATTCAGAACTATATAATAGGGGAAAAGACCTCAGTGTAGGACCAGGATCCATTCTGAATACGGCATGGACAAGTGAGAATTTAAAGCCAAGGAGCAGGGTAGGGGGGTCAGTGGATAGAAAATTACTAATGAGAAACCTCAAGGGTCAAGATGATTGTGCCTGAACCTAACAGAATTGTTGCTGGTGAGAGGCCGGGGTTATTAGACATCACCCAGGGGATGAGGGAAGATGAGGAACCCGATGAGCTATCAAGGGTGGTCAGATATGGAGGACGGGGCATTTGGAATTAAAATAAGTTGACTAAATTGACTTAGCAGTGTTCTTGCTAAAACTAGATTTTACAAGGAAATGCCCAGATGAGCCTAGGAGCCTGAATAAAGTTTGGCCAGGCAAGAATCTCTGTCAGGTACTATGATTCTCTTACGGTTTCCGACTTTATCAGTTTACATATTTGTGTTCTCTACTATGTAGGCTTGCTGAGGTTAGTAATTATTTTATGCCTGGTAAAGGGGTTGAGTACAGGTTTGTTGTATGGAATTGATAGATTGGTGAGAGTTGGCTGGCAGCTTTATCACAAAATAAGAGATGCAGAAAAAGGCAAAAATAGTAAATTCAAGCTTATGCTTTTTTCTTCACAGCCAGGGTGGTGGTTGTTCAGAACTGACCTCACTCTTAATACGATAAATTGCTCTCATCATGAATTGCAACTGATTTTTTGGCCCTATTTTTCCCCTTGAAATAAATCATAAAATAGATGTTGGAAACTTACCACCAATATCACTAGCATGTACTATGCAATTCTTTCACTCACTTATTTTAAAGTTTATTACAGCTTAATGTGTAAGAACTCAATATGCTCTTTAGAGGCATATTTCCAATCTGTTTTCAGAATATGAACTAATGCATATTTGAAAGGTACATTTTAGAAAGAAGTGACTTGTGGTATTAATTTTCTTGGGCCCATTCATTTAGTAATATGACAGTTGAGGTGTTGACCATCTTAATTTTAAGTAGAATGAGTTCTTACTGTATTTGCCCTGCCTTTTACCCAGGAGTATACTTCCCAGCAAGGTGCTTATAGGAACTTAACTTTCCTCCCAGCTGGTACCACTTGAGTTGTACCTCTTCTCCGCCCTTCCTGTTCTTTCTGGTCCCTGCAGGCCCTATGGTTGCCTGGAGTTCCTTCTTCTCACCCTGCCTCAATGCTGGACCTGCAATTAAGTTAGAAGCGGGAAAGAAAGAGTAACCTTCCTACCCCTTTTTCCCCAACTTCATTTATAGCTGCTCGCCACCGCCACATCATTTATAACCTCTGTTCTGGTTAGTCCAACATTGCTGGACTGTATACAGTTTTCAATACAGCCTGGCTTCAGCCTTTCTGAAGACATGTAGAAATTATGGGGAAGCTCTTGATGTGTAGCTAAATCTGCCTACATCCATGATTATCACCTGTGTGGCACCTTCTTATCCTAAAGCTGTTTTTGTAGTAAAGGGTTAACTTGTTAAGCGTGGGATGTTCAAAACTTGCCCACATTCCAAAGAAAGACCTGGTTCCTGACCAACTCCTGTCTTATCCTCTAAGCTGCTGGAATATCTCCTTAATAAAATTGTCTTTTTAACTATGGGCCTCAGCCCCACCAGCTAGGTTGTGCTAACAGCGTGATGTGTGGTGAGGGCTATACTCTTTTTTTTTTAAATATAAATTTATTTACTTATTTTTGGCTGCTTTGGGTCTTTGTTGCTGGGCACGGGCTTTCTCTAGTTGCGGCAAGTGGGGGCTACTCTTCGTTGTGGCATGTGGGCTTCTCATTGCGGTGGCTTCTCTTGTTGCGAAGCACAGGCTCTAGGGCACATGGGCTTCAGTAGTTGTGGCACGTGGGCTCAGTAGTTGTGGCACATGGGCTTAGTTGCTCTGCAGCATGTGGCAACTTCCCGGACCTAGGCTTGAACCTGTGTCCCCTGCCTGGGCAGGTGGATTCTTAGCCACTGCGGCATCAGGGAAGCCCCCAGGGCTATACCCTTTTAGTTTGGCCTCTGAAGCGGGTAAAGACTAAGAAACTAATGTCAGCACATTGATGCTCCATGCCTACCTGATTGACCCCCCAATAAAAACCTTGAACACCAAGACTCAGGTGAGCTTCCTTGGTTGGCAATACTCTGCACATGCTGTCACACATCATTGCTGGATGTTTGCACCTGGTTTCTCTTGGACTCTGCTCCATGTGCCTTTGCTTTGCTAATTTTAGTCTGTATCCTTTCCTGTTTAAGAATCTGTTATGAGGCACAAACAACAACAAGACGTGAAGAATTGTGCATTCTTCCATTAGTAACAGCAGTTAATTATAAGTGGGGAAAGTAGTAGAGTTTTATTTGGAGATCGTGTGTGCAGCTTTAAAAAAGAACCCTGCACTACTGTTACATGCTTTTCTTGCTTCACTGTCTCTGCCCACTGTCACTACCCTAGAGTCTTAGTAAAGAGAAGAATTAAAATTGGGGAAAAGACTTCTTTAAAGATACAAATATAGGTATTGGGGGTAAGGTAGGTAGTAATCACATAACCATGTTTTACTGCTAACTGTACATGCCTTATAACAGATTCTTAAACACTCTGGGTTTCAGAACCTCTTTACATCCTTAAACTGTTGAAAACTGCAAAGAGCTTTTGTTTAAGTGGGTTTTATCTTCTACATTAAAAAATATTAACCTTATTCTGCTTGGATCTACAGCAATGTACACTAATGTGAATGAATCCAGAAAAAAGAGTGGCTTGAAAAGTAACCAGCATGAATAACATGGTATCATCTACGGAAAAATCCGCTCCAGCTTCAGAATACCTGGCTTAAAAAGAACTTTCATAATGGACCCGTTTCATGGGATTGTTTTATCCTGCATTCTTGGGGTCTTAGACTGCTTACCTAGAGTTTTAAGATCTATGTGAACTAACTCTTCTTTTGGTAAGTTAATAATGAAACAAAATAGTATCCAAGCTAAATCAACTATTGGATGTGTTTTATTATTTTTTTATTTTATTTTTTTTTGTGGTACACGGGCCTCTCACTGTTGTTGGCCTCTCCCGTTGCGGAGCACAGGCTCCAGACGCGCAGGCTCAGCGGCCATGACTTACGGGCCCAGCCGCTCCGCGGCATGTGGGATCCTCCCGGACCGGGGCACGAACCCGTGTCCCGTGCACCGGCAGGCGGACCCTCAACCACTGCACCACCAGGGAAGTCCTGGATGTGTTTTATTATTTTTTGTTATGTTTTTGTGACACTTGTACATTGTGAAGAAGTAACTGAGCAAAAATTCTACATAGTATGTTCACAACTCATTTTGAATATTGTGTGTTTTTTATAAAAATTACCTGTCTTTATGTATAATTGTAGAATTTTGAGGTATGTTTATTAAAGTCCTTCCAGGGATATGTTGTACTATTAGATTGCAGGTTAAGGGGAAGCTATAGAATCCTTTTTACCAGTTTTACCTTTGAGAGTTGTGCTTTTACATACAACGTAATGTGAACAGCCAATGTAAATTTTTAAAATTTGTAGTTATGTTTATCTCTGTGCTGTGCACATTTTATTTTTCTCACTTTCTCTCCTCAAATAAATTATGAGCTTTTTTTTAACACCAGACGATGTCTTTATTTATGTGTGAATCCCCAGCATTTAAGGCAGTATTTGGTACACAAATATCAAGTGAACAATGAATGGTTAACTTTTGCAGTGTTAAAATACGAGGCTCATTTATTAGGCTTTCGAGGGGGCTGATTGTTTTAAACATCTTTATAATAATTTTAAACATATGACACAATGATGGAAGTAAGGAAACAGTGAAAATCTCTGTTGGAAATCTCTAGGAATTGCTTTCTTCTGAGAAAATTGTTTTGGAAGCTTAAGAAACCAAGGAATTGACATCTGTTTCATCTGTGAGCCAGAGGTTGGTAGCATTCAGATTCTTCTTAGCAGAACTGCTTCTTGTGCCTTTGATCTTTTCTCAGACACTTTGGTGGTTCGTAGTGTTAGTGAGATTGATGATTATTCTGGGTCTAAGTACCCACTTTTAGCATATTAGGTCATTTACTTTGCTTTCATCCTAACAATACCAGGAGCAAAGTGGTCTTTGGGAAATCAGAAAAACGCTAGATACTGTAAAATTAGTTCAAGATTTGGTAACATTTGAGTATCTGGCCCACACTTCAGGCCATCTTTGTTAGGCTTTTTTAAAGAAGCTAAGAAGGAAGATAAGACTGGTGACATGATTCAACTGGAAATGACATTGATGGTGATTATAGAAAAGGAGCAAATAAGCTTATAATTTTTACTTTGGCATAAACTTTAGAGGAGGAGTTGTTGAAATGGGTATGAGCAATACCTCATTGGAGAGTAAAGTAAGGAAGTTCATTTTCACGGACCTATAAGTGGGTGGCAGCCAAGGAGACCAGCATTTACTAAGTGTCTCCTAGGCCACAAAGTAAACACGTATTAGTTAATCTTCTCAGCAACTACAAGTGAGATTTTGGAGAGTTTGTGAACGATGCCATGCTATCAGAGTCATTTTGAGGTTAAGGTAAAGCAGTTCAAGGTCTTTTTAATAGTAAAAATCTGTTTGTGACTAGAAAGGGGTTCCAGAAGGCTTAGCTCTAAGGATCAGTAAAGAAAAGAGAAGATGGACAAGAGTGGTGAAGGATGAGGTCTTATGGCTCTTGCTATGTTTAAATAAACCTGGGCTTTGGCAGTTAGACTGTTAGCAATTTCTGTTAGTGATTAAAGAACTTGAGTGCTGAGTTGGTAGAAAACAGTGTTAAAAGCAACCAGAGGAGAAAATCTGCTTCTGAAGATACTGGGGATGTCAGAAGGTGGAATCTCAGATTTTCTAAGTCCCCTTAAGAGGACTTCACTCATTATACACGTCGGAAACTTAAACCCAGAGTTGTCACACATTGCTTTTTCTGCTCACTTGCTCTCAGATGAATACAGTTCCCCTTAAGGTCAACTAACATGTTTGGAACAGGCAGCTGGATCACAGTGAATTGAAAGCTCTCATGGGAAGAACAGAATGAACACCCCCAACATGGGAAGATTTAGCTAAAGCTAAAATTGGAACTGGGTGCTGGGTACCTCCTACAGCCCATGTGGTAGTCTAGGTGAGGCAAGAGTCCCATGCAATGCCTGTGGCTGTGAGTGGCAGAACTGATAGAAGAGAACCAGCAAAGTAAGGTCAGTCAAGCAGTCTCACCCCAAGTTCAAAGCAGAGTGACTGCTCCAGCATGAAGGGTTACTGACCAGCCTCCATTCTCTTCTGAGGATCAGAAGAGACAGGATGATTACAGCTAACACTGCCCACGTGACACAACCAATCTAATAGTGATTTAAATCAAGTTTAACAATAAATCCTAAACAGAAGTGACCTGTGTGCCTTCACGTTATGTGTTTATATGTGAGGGAAAATGGGTCACAGATGTCTCTTGAGGATGGGTCACTTGACTATATAAATTCTGGAGGAAAGGCAGCAACTCTGAGTTAGATATATGTGAGTTATCACTTGCTTTCTTTGATAAGGAGATACTACATTCTTAAGATCATTCTCAAGAAGAGAATGGTTTTATGGCACACCTTTACACTCTCAGAGGTGTGTAGTATTTCCTCCACTGAAGTACAGCCAAGAGTAGCTCCCTTCCCTAGAGCAAAGTGGTCAGTCCTGGGGCTGAGGGAAGAAGGGAGTGTGTGAAGCAGGACATAGTTCACATACCCAAGTGGTCTGGGCCCCATTATTTGACCCAAAAATTCACCCACCCGGACTCTCAAATATTCTGTCTCTGGTACTAAATGCAATGTTACCATGTTGGCACCCTGCTAATTTAAGAGACCACATATTCAGTAAGTATCTCATCACATGATTGTCCTTTTCTGGGTCTCAGGTGGGAGTGAGGTCTGTGAAGAAAGCTTTACAAATTCAGGGTTGTACTCTAATTATGGCTCTATGCCAACATCACATGCTTATTTTTGAACCTGTCCTTGAAAAGCATGTCTTTTTAGATAGTGGACACCTAAACTTGAAGTCATAATAGTTCGTTTTGATGTTCTGGAATATAAAACAATTTTTATAAAAATTTTAAAAAATCATTTTGTTCCAAAACAGGTTGTTAAAAAAGATAACTGGTCCCAAATAACTGGTGAATTCTACCAAACATTCAAAGAGGAAATTATATCAGTTCTTTTCAATCTCTGAGAAGACAGAAACAGAGGGAATACTTCCTAACTCATTCTATGAGACCGGCATTACCCTAATACCAAAACCAGACATTACAAGATATTACAAGAAAAAAACACCAACGACCAATATCTCTCATAAATACATATGCAAAAATCCTCAACCAAATATTAGCAAATTAAATCCAGCGATGTATAGAAAGGATTAGACACCATAACCAAGTGGGGTTTATTCTAGGCATGCAAAGCTGGCTGAACATTTGAAAATTGATTAATGTAATATATCAACAGGTTAAAGAAGAAGAGTCACAATCATATCAATAGATGCAGAAAAAGCATTTGACAAAATCCAACATTTTCATCATGATAAAAAAAAAAAAACCTCTCAGCAAACTAGGAATAGAGGGGAACTACAGCTTGCTAAAGAACATCTACAGGGACTTCCCTGGTGGAGCAGTGGTTAAGAATCCACCTGCCAATGCAGGGGACGTGGGTTCGAGCCCTGGTCCAGGAAGATCCCACATTCCACAGAGCAACTAAGCCTGTGGGCCACAACTACTGAGCCCGCGTGCCACAGTTACTGAAGCCTGCGTGCCTAGAGCCTGTGCTCTGCAACAAGAGAAGCCACCACAGTGAGAAGCCCGTGCACCGCAACGAGTAGCCCCCGCTCGCTGCAACTAAAGAAAGCCCATGGGCAGCAACGAAGACCCAACACAGCCAAAAATAAATAAATAAAATTTCAAAAAAGAACATCTACAAAAAAACCTACAGCTAACATCATACTTAATGGTGAGAAACAAGATGCTTTCCCACAAAGATCAGGAGCGAAGCAAGAATGTCTCACCACTCCTATTCAACATCATACTGGAAGCTCTAGCTAATGTAATAAGAAAAAGGAAATGAAAAGTATACAGATTGAGAAGAAAGAAAGAAAACTGTCTTTGATGACCTGACTGTCTATGTAGAAAATCCCAAAGAATCAACCAAAAACTTCTGGAACTAATAAGTGATTATGGAAAGGTTGCAGGACACAAGATTAACATACAAAAGTCAACTGCTTTCATAACACTAGCAACGAACAAGTGGAATTTCAAATTTAAGACAATATGATTTACATTACACCCTAAAAATGAAATACTTGGTATAACCTAACAACATTTGTGCAAGGTCTATGTAAGGAAAACTGCAAAACTCTGATGACAGAAACCAAAGAAGGATTAAATGAAAGGAGATATTCCATGTTCATGGATAGAAAGCCTTTATATTGTCAAGAGGTCAGTTCTTCCCAGTTTGATCTATAGATCCAACACAATCTCAGTCAAAAGTCCAGTAAGTTCTTTTGTGGATATCAACAAAATTATTCTAAAGTTTATATGGAGAGGCAAAAGACCCAGAATAGCCAACACAGTATTGAAGGAGAAGAACAAAGTCAGAGGACTGACACTACCCAACTTTACTGCTACAGTAATCAAGACAGTGTGGTATTGGCAAAAAGAATAGACAGATCAGTGGGCAGAATACAGAGCCCAGAAATAGACTCACACAAGTATAGTCAATTGATCTTTGACAAAGAAGCAAAGACAATGCAATGGAGGGAAAAAAGTCTTCAACAAAATGGAGGTAGGACAAACAGATAACCACATGTAAAAAAAAAGAAATGTGATACAGGATTTTTATCTTTCACAAAAATTAATTCAAATGTAATCATAGACCTAAATGCTAAATGCAAAACTATAAAACTTATAGAAGATAACATAGAAAAAAGATCTAGATGACTTTGGGTTTGGTGATGACATTTTAGATACAACTTTAAAGACACGATCCACGAAAGAAGTAATCGGTAAGCTGGAATTCATTAAAATGAAAAACTTCCACTCTGCCAAAGATAGTGTCAAGAGAACAAGAAGACAAGCCACAGACTGGGAGAAAAGATTTGCAAAGACATATAAAGGACTGTTATCCGAAAGATACAAACAGCACTTACAACTCAACAGTAAGAAAGTGAACAACCCAGTTTAAAAATGGGTAAAAGATATGAACAAAAACCTCACCGGAGAAGACAGTCATCCGTCAGTATTTGCTGGAGATTGCTTCCAGGACCCCCACGCATACGTGCTTCTTAGCAGCATAGAGTTAACTTCTTCCACCTGGTGGGGATTTCAGTATCTGCAAAACAGCTCAAAGGACTTGGCTCAGAATATTATCTATAACCCTCGAGGAGGAACTAAAGGTCCTTGACTTTGTTTAATGACTAAACTATTATTATTTTGTCTTGCTTGACTGTTTTCCTTTCTTTCTGCATTTTCTCACTTCTCTGATTAAATTTACTGTTTGGAACCTGGGGAAGGCCTAGGAGGCTAAAGTGTTTCTACAGACAAGAGGCAGGCGGAGGACATGGGGCAGGGGCGGGGTCTGTTCTGGGAAGGCCCCATAGGGTCCTGTTTGGTTACACTACCCACCTATTAGAATATTTTAAACCCTGACAACACCAAGTGCTGACAAAGATATGAAGCAACAAGAACTCTCATTCATTGCAGTGGGAATGCAAAATGATACAGCCACTTTGGAAGACAGTCTGTCACTTTCTTACAAAACTAACATACTCTTACCACAAGATCCAGTAATCACGCTCCTTGGTATTTACCCAGATACCATAAGTTGAAAATTTATGTCCATGCAAAAATCTGCACACAGATGTTTATGGTAGCTTTATTCACAATTGCCAAAACTTGGAAGCAACCAAGGTAACCTTTGTAGGTGAATGGATAAACTGTAATTCATCCGGACAGTGGAATATCATTCAGTGCTTAAAAAGATACAAGCAATCAAGCCGTGAAAGATGTGAAAGAAGCAAATATGAAAAGGCTGTATGATTCCAACTATATAACTTTCTGGAAAAGGCAAAACTATGCAGGCAGCAAAAAGATAACCAGCTGCTGAGGTAGGGAGAGATGAATAAGTAGAGCACAGAGGATTTTTAGGGCAGTGAACCTATTCTGTATGACACTATAATAATGGATACATATCATCATACATTTGCCAAAACTCATAGAATGTATAACACCAAGAGTAAACCCTGTCTAAACTGTGGACTTTGGGCGATAGTATGTGTAGGTTCATCGATTGTAACAACTGTACCACACTGGATGTTGATAGCCAGAGAGACTGGGGGCGGGGGGAGGTATATGTGAACTCTCTGTACTTTCTGCTCAATTTTGCTATGAACCTAAAACTGCTCTTTAAAAAGTCTACCTTAAGTAAACAAACAATAACCATGTTTAAACGAAAAAAAAAAAAGGTTGCCTAGGAAAAGGGGAGGAAATGAGTGTGAGTGTGGGTAAGTGATGAAAAATAATAAATTAAGGAGAGGGATCTTGCACTGGGCCTATGACAATAAAATGTCATGAAATGAAAAGTATGTTTAATTCAATGCTCACCTTCGATCCAAGAGAAAGAAAATGAGATAATGTATGTGTACATGCTCTGCAATCACAAATATATCAGATTTAGCATTGGGTTATTTATTATATTTTGTCCCAGTATACACTGATTTTCACTCGTTCACATTTTAAACATAACTTCATATGACTAAGAAGTAATCTCCTAAAATGAGGTGAAAGCTAGAATATGAATTCAATTTTTCTACACCACATCCCCACAGAGGGAATTTGTTTTATACTTCTTCACAGCTTAGCATTTCTTTTTTAACACTAAAATACCTAGTGTGCTCTGCATGAATGCACTGGACTTGAAGTCTGGGGATGTTCCTTTCCTGCCTTTATTTCCTCACACTTGCTGCCGACTGGCGGCGTTAGGATGCAATGACTACTATTTACTTTGCCCTTCCACCTATCACATCTGTGAGGGGCAGCGGAGCACCGTCGTCGGACCCAGATTCGACTCCTATTTTTTGATTTCCAGTAATTGACCTTCCAAAGACTGCTGGAGGAAAAGACTCGAAGTCCCTTCAGCGATTTTCCTAGACAAGGGACTTCATCGTAAAAGCCAACAAACAAAAACCCGAGGCGCAGATCCTAATGGTTTGCAAGTTTCCGGAAGGAAGGATGATTCTAACTGAAGTTTGTCTAACTTTATGACCCTTTAGGAAACGTCCAGGTTTTACGAAACTCATCCCCGTGGACTTAGCAGACTAGAGGACTCGCCTCACAGAAAGCTCAGTACCAGGGGTTCAGGCGACCAAGGGGACGACCTCAGATACAACCGCGACCACGCAAGGTGTTTGGAGCCGAAGGCTCGCCCATTCCTCCACTGCGCCAACAGGCGGCGCAAGAGGGCGGTGGGAGTGTGCATGCGCAGTTGGCGGACATTTCCGCAGACAACGCTCACAGCCACCTCGGGTCTCTCGCGACAGCATGAAGGCAGGCGAGGACGCCAGAGGAGCGCGCAGTGAGAAGCCGAAGAAGCTAGGTCTCTGCGTCCTCTGCGGACTGCCCGCAGCAGGAAAGTCGACCTTCGCGCGTGCCCTCAGCCACCGTCTACGGCAGGAGAGTAGCTGGGCCGTGGGCGTCGTCGCCTATGATGACGTCATGCCGGACTCGTTCCTAGAGGAGGTGAGCGCTCGCCCATTGGTCAGTACGGAGGGGGCGGGGCCTAGACTGCTGTAGCGGAGGGAAATCTACAAACTCCACGATACTTGTACTGGGTAATACCTGGTGTGGGAGGTGGATCTTTGATAGGGGAAAGACAGGAGTTCGAGGAATGGGGAGCTGGTTTAACACAGAATGAGTTGACTAGAAATAGAAAACGATGCAAACAGCCACCAGCATAAGGTTAGGGTCTAAAGTCAGCGTGCAAGGTGGAAGTCCCCCATAATCAAATATCCTCCTGAAAATCCTTTGGGAAGGTTGTTCTGAAAAGAAGGACAGAATCTCTCAAAAATTCCAGCACAGCCAATTTAACATTCAGCCAGGCGAACCCAGGTATCGTGGGGCTTTAAGTTATGCGGTTTGGGGAAACCCTTTTAAAGAAAAAGGGTACAAAATTATAAGTGACAGGGTACTTACTAGGGCCCCTCCTGTGACAATAGATTCTGTACAAATGAAGGACTTGGCCTCTGAAGCTGGATCTTCATTCAACTGAGGGTAAACCTGCTTCTGCCAGAATAGGAAAAGATGGCTGTTTCTTAGTTGACCATCAGATGAAGTAATAGGCTTGTATTTAGGGGTCAGCTTGGGTTCCCAGTACATACTTCTCTTTAAGCCCTCCGATCACCCTCAGCGCTGTGAGATGCATCCTCTTGAGAAGCATGTGAAAACTGAGACTTCCGCGGGGAAGAGTAGATTCACGTCACCCATCTCATGCTCACTCTAGAGAAAATACTCTTTGATTAACATATTCTGAAAAATTTAAAGTTATTTTTGTCATTTAATGCCGAATGTAGATGAATTCACATAAATAAAATTCACATATGGTGTGATTCCACTCTAAGTATATATGCAAAAATACAGTACATTTGGCACATAGAAGAATTTTGAACTTCTCCACCAAAGTTATATACTTCCTCATTCTTGGTTAATTGTGAGGTAAATACAGTATCAGGCCCCTGGTAGCACCGGATTTACTTAAGTAATAGTATTTTTACCACTATGGAGAAAGCTGGAAGTTGTTGATAGGGATTGTTGTATCTGCTGGGGTTTTCCCTCACTTTTCTTATTATATTTTTTCCACTCTCCCCCTACAGACCAAGGCCATGGAGCTCATCCAGTCACCACGAGTAGGATATCTCACCTTTTAGGAAGTGATCGTGTTTCTGTTTCCTTTTGAGTGGGTTTTGCTGATGTATTTGTTTTATGTGCCATAATCTCAGTGATGTGGTAGAGCATGGACAGACAGGAGAGGGATCCTCATCTCCTGTCCTTGTGTTTTCCCTCCAGCCTTGACCTCATAACTATGTCAGTGTTCACCAGAGCCTTTGAGTAGCGCAAGACTACTTATATTTTCAAGCTATTTATTCTCTTCTCCTCAGTCTGCTTCCTCTACCTTTCCCGATCCCATTCCAATCCTGTTGTTAGCCTGAGGTCTTTTCATCTGGACCCAGGGACCTTTCAGCTGATCCTCTTTCTATCTACAACTTTTCTTATTTCAAGGGCAAATGAGCATTGCTATATCTTAGCTAGACTATTTTATCTTGGCAGGATATTGATTTTTTTTTTTTTTTTTGGGCTGCGTTGGGTCTTCGTTGCTGCATGCAGGCTTTCTCTAGTTGCCACGAGCGGGGGCTACTCTTCATTGCGGTGCAAGAGCTTCTTATTGCGGTGGCTTCTCTTGCTGCGGAGTACGGGCTCTAGGTGCGTGGGCTTCAGTAGTTGTGGCTCACGGGCCCTAGAGCGCAGGCTCAGTAGTTATGGCGCACGGACTTAGTTGCTCCGCAGCATGTGGGATCTTCCTGGACTAGGGATCGAACGCGTATCCCTTGCATTGGCGGGTGGATTCTTAACCACTGTACCTGGGAAGTCCCAGGTATTGATTTTGGTTCCTCCTTTCTCCTGGATGGTAACAGCTTTTCATTCTTTCATTTATTCACTTATTCATTCAGTCATTTCATATACATTTCTGGAGCATCTGTTAGGTGTCTGACCCTCTGCTGAAGCCTGGGTATACAGTAGACTATTGATCTAGCAGGGACATAGAGATACCTAAACAATGTAAACCCTGTTAGAGTGGAGACCCAGTATACACAGAACAGGGTGTCATGATAGGCAAGGGACGATCTGAGCTGCCCTCTGCATGGTTGAGTCTGAGAAGAGTTCACAGAGCACTAACATCACTGAGTAGTTTTTCAGGCAGAGGGAACAGCGTATATGAAGACATGAGGATGAGAAAGCAAGTTTTGTCTAGAGAACACCAAATGGTTCAGAAATTATCATATGGAGCAGGGGGTTGTTGAGGCATGACCACCCTACTGGCCAAAGCCTAATATAAATTGCAATTCTGCGGTATTTTGCAGCCATCCCAGTGGAAATCGCATCGCCAGGAACTGTTGAAGTACCTTGAATACTTCTTTCTGGCTGTCATTAACGGGTGTCAGATGTCTGCCCCGCCCAGCAGGACTGAAGCCATGTGGGAGGATTTTCTAACCTGCTTGAAGGATCAAGATCTGATATCTGCTTCAGCACTTGAGGCCCAGTCTCACTATCTCGTAACGAAGACTGCTGTTTCCAGACCTCTGCTTTTGATTTTAGACGACAACTTTTATTATCAAAGTATGAGATATGAAGTCTATCAGCTGGCTCGGAAATGTAATTAACACATTTTTTTTCTTACACTCAGAGACATTTATTCGCATATCAAAATCACTACTGTCTTTAGTGAGAACTTGATTGGATTAGGAGGTTTATATGGATTTACTTAATTTTCAAAGCTACACGTTCAGTATTGCAAATGGTCTTTTCTGCTGCAGGTGGGATAACTTGTCTAAGTACGTTTATTTCACATTTTGGAAAAATAGTACCCTAGTAATTTTGTGGTTTTTGAATGGTTTTCAGATTCATTAGGCTTTTGCCAGCTCTTTTTAGAGTGTTCTCTCGAGACCTGTCTACAGAGGAATGGCCAGAGACCACTTCCAGTGCCTGCCAAGACCATCCACCTGATGGGAAGCAAGATAGAAAAGCCCAACCCTGAGAAAAATGCTTGGGAACACAACAGCCTCACAATTCAGAGCCCAGCGTGTACTTCAGAGGCCAGGTAGCCTACTCAAAGGTGTCCTTCACGAGCTGCTTTGCTGAGCCAGGCACTGTGCTGAATGCTTTCCCTGTGTCCACCCGGTTACTCTTCACACAAGCCTTGGAGAAGGACATTATTTCCCCTTTCTTTAGAAGAGGGAACTGAGTGAGGAAGTTTAGTTCGCCCAGAGTCACTGAGATTTTAAGTTACAGCTGAGACGTGAACCCAGGTTTGTTTGCAAATGTGTACTCTTGTTAAAATTATATTGTTTCCCAGAGGTCAGGGCAGGGAGTTCAGAGTAGGGCACATCTCTGATACTCTTGCTGCAGTAGCATAGTCTAAATAGATTGCCCTGTAGTCTTCTTATAGAGAGAAAAGGAGTGGAACTGGTACTAAATCCTAATTTGCCTAAAACCTCACTCCAGTTACACTGCTTGTGTAGATATGAGGCTTGTGGCTATGGTGTCTAATGCATTTCATTCCTAAAATAGGTCTTGAGAGTTCTAGAGTTCTGGAGAGTTCTAGTTCAGCACATTTCTGATAGAAGTTTCACTGATGATAGAAATGTTCTCTGTTTGCCCTGCCCAGTGTGGTAGCTGCTAGCCACATGCGACTGACCATTGAGCACTTGAAGTATAGCCAGTGCAACTTACTACCTGAATTTTAAATGTTATTTTAATCACTTTAAACTTAACTGGCTGCATGTGGCCCGCGGCTGCTGCATGGGACAGCGCAGTTCGAGAGGTATATTGCCCACAGTTCCTTAGTTCCTGCCTGACTGTTGTCCAGAGGGGATCAGCAGTTTTTAAAAGGCTAATTTTTTAAACTCATTCCTCAGAATGTTTTGTTCCCAGGATACAGTTTCCATGGATTTTGTAATACTCTAACATTCTAAGGAAAAAAGAAAAAAATTCGATTTAAGTAACTGTTGTTTATAGGGTTAATGAAATAAGCTATGGCTGAGATTTCTAATTTTAACTTCTCATAATATCTTGAAACTTTGAGAAGGCGAGCATGTAGCCAGTTGATGGTTACTCTTTCTGGAGTACTGAAGATGTTTTCCTTCGCAAGTGAATGGCTGGTTGAGGCATTGAGATACCCCATTTTACCCCATGAGAGCAGTCTAAGGTTAGCATCACTGCTCTGGGGGCCAGTTCTTGCTAGAAGCAAGGAAGAGTGTGAGCTTTGCCAGTGTCAGTACCACCCCTGAACATAATCTGCAGTTTTGTCTTGGGTCTTAAGAATATGGTCCAAAATAGTCATAGCATGGCTATGACTGAAGTCTGAAGTCTGGCGGCCCTGAATTGGAAGTTGAAAGATGATGTGACAAGTATACCTTTCCCAGGCTTCAGTGAAATACTACTACTACTGCTGCTGCTGCTGCTATACTGCTATCACCACTACTATTGCCACTACTAATGCTACTACTAGTACTACTATTAGCAGGAACAGCTGTCGAGCAGATACTATGTCCTGGGCAGACTCTGGACACTTTATACGTATACTCTGATTCAGTCCTCACAACGACCCTTTGAGGGCAGATACAATTATCCCCCTTTCATGATGGGACAACTGAGGCCCAGGTAAGCAAAGTAACATATGCAGATAGTAAAGGGCAGAGCCAAGGTTTGGACCCATTGCAGCCCCACTCATTCCAGAACCTGGGCTCTTTTGTGAGAAAGATCACGTTGAGGTGAAGGTTTAATTCAGTGACTTCCCTGGCTTACGTTTCTTCAGTGCTACTCCTTGTATCTGAGTAAAATTTAAACTCCTTACCATAACTTGCACACTCTAACCCTGATTGCTTTTTTTTTTTTTAACGTTCTGTTCTTTTACTAAAAATATGTCCATTCAAGGAAGATGTTTTGTTTTTCTAGTTGGGTGACTCATAGGGGGAAAAGTTTAGGTCAGCAAAAACAGAGAGTGGAACGCTGGGGGGAAAAGAATCTTGTTTTTTAAGATGAGACTATTCTGGAAAACTTAAATTAGAGCTTTACTTTGACATGTAACTCTCTCATGATTGCATTAAAAGTTTTCACTTCGTATAATTAAAAATCTCATCAGACGAAAATCTGCCTGTCATGTACATGATGTTTGAGTGACAGACTTCATAATTTATATTCTCAGGGACATGACATTCAGTACTTTCTTTTCTTTTCCTTTTTTTGGAATTTTAAATCTGATCCCTAAATTTCTTTGTTTGCTTTTAATTTTTATTGGAGTAGAGTTGCTTTACAATGTTGTGTTAGTTTCAGGTGACAGCAAAGTGAGTCAGTTATACCTGACTCACTTAATAATATATATTATCCACTCTTTTTTAGATTCTTTTCCGATATGGGCCATTACAGAGTATTGAGTAGAGTTCCCTGTGCTCTACAGTAGGTCCCTGTTAGTTACCTATTTTATATATGGTAGTGTGTATGTGTCGATTTTCTGTCCCCGGAACACGAGAAGCTTGTTCTTGTCTCGGGGCCATAGTGCTTGCCGTCCCCTCCACCCTTCCCACGTATGTAAGCTTCACTGGCTTCCCTGACCATCCTACCCGGTGGGAAGGGTGTTAAGTAGGCTAACCAGTCACTCTCTTATGATCATTTTGTTCATTATCTTCACTCACTTATCCACTTGTCACTGTCTGAAACTATTATTTTTTGCTTATTTATTCTCTGTCTCTCTCCATTACGTTATCAGGCTTAGAGAGGGTAGGGATCTTGCTACACCCCCAGCTTAGCACATAGTTTCACATACATAGTTGTACGTTTTTCATATATGAAGATGCTCAATAAATATTTGTTAAATGAATAAATGAATTCTACTGCAACCCTCGATGACCTCTTGTCCTGTGAGGAACTTTGCAAATTCACATCCAGTAAATGAGCAGAAGCCAGAAAATAAAGACTAAGCCTCCTTCTTTAGGGAATATAAAGTTCTAGGAGTCTAAAGTTCAGCAGTTAATGAGGGAAAAGAGAGAATGTCTTTTAAAACCTTATTGATAGGAGTCTTAGGAAATTAACATTTTTTACATGAGGGGATTTGGGGGACTTACGACTTGTTTTGAGCTTCTACATTTTAATTTTGCAAGTAGAAGGTAGCTCCCAAATCACTTTGCTTTTCCCCTTTTGTTCAGGAGTTTGGATATACCACTTTCATTCCTCTAGAATTCAGCTTAGTACCCATAAACACAAGTTCTTTAAAAACAGGTGTTTGATATAAGGATTTATTTTGTCCTACCTTCTCTTATAGACTGAAACTGACTGATTTACTGCTTACTGCTTTGGAAAATCCAATAAGATACGTGGAGGAGAATGTGGAACAAAAGGTAAGTCTTCCAGTTTAGATTTAGTATAAATGAGAAGGAACTTTTTGTAGGAAGATCTTTTTGACCTGAGTGTAAAATATGAATAACACGTGGGAGACACTTTGTCCCTGCCTTGGCATCTTACCAGCATTCAGCTCCTGACACCTGGATGCAGTGGTACTCTGGAGGGAGCTCGCACTGCCTGGTCAAAGACGACTGTTTAATCTTCAGAAACGTTGGAGCCTGTTGACGTGTTGGTAGCTCGAAGTGGGCATGGATGGGAATATTTACATCGTAGAAATAGACAAAATGCTATGGATAGGTTTGTGTTTTTCTCTTTGAGAGCCCATTCTTAGACATTTACCAGCATACTGCCTACGTGGAACCCAGTTTACAACTGGATGTATTTCGTTTAGACCCTCTCCTAGGGAAGAATAACTGGAACAGAAAAGTCACGTTTCCTTTTCTGTATCTCTTCACCTATGCATCCCCTACACTTAATTCTTTTGTAAAACTAGATAACTGTTCCAATAACAATGTCTATTACCTAGGAAACAGACAGAATTATTTGTTCAACTAACATTCTTCATCAAGCTGATCAGACCCTCCGAAGAATTGTCTCTCAGACAATGAAGGAAGCGAAAGGTGTGTTGAGTGGTTAAGATTCTATTTAGTTGAGACTATTCTTTCATGCTACTCTTGTTCCGTGGACGTGGGTAGTTTATTTGCTTTCATTCATAAAGTTTACATCATGTTTTCAGTTTAAATATGCAACTTGGTTATATTAAGCTAAAACTTCTACCTCTGGAACCAGGCATTCATCCATCCAATAGGTTTTTACTGAGTGGCTACTCTGTACTAGGCTTTATTTTGGATACTGGGGAGTTGAGAGGGAGCAGAACATCATAGTGAGGAGACAAGACAAAAAATAAATAAATACATGAATATATGCCGGTGCTCTGAAGAAAAGTAAAGTAGGGTAAGGCAAGGTAGTGATGGGAGGATTTATTTTTAAAAGGGTAATCAGGAAGGCTTCTCAGAGGAAATGGCATTGAAGCAAAGATGTGAATGAAAGGGAAGAGCAAGCCATGCTGATGCCTGCAGGATCATTTTAGGCCGTGGACACATCAAGTGCAAAAGTCCACAGGTAAAGCTGGTATGTTCTAGAACAGAAAAAAAGCCATTGAGTCTGGGGAGAGGTAGTCAGGGGCCAGGTGTAAAATCAGCATGGAGTTTGAACAGGCTTAGTGCATTGTCAGTCTGAACTTAGATGAAATATGTGATAATTATAGTTTTATAAAATAATTCCTTTCTGTTTTTTCTTTTTTTTTTTTTTCTTGCGGTACGCGGGCCCCTCACTGCTGCGGTCTCTCCCGTTGCGGAGCACAGGCTCCGGACGCGCAGGCTCCGCGGCATGTGGGATCTTCCCGGACCGGGGCACAAACCCCTGTCCCCTGCATCGGCAGGCGGACTCTCAACCACTGCGCCACCAGGGAAGCCCTCCTTCAGGTTTTAAATATTGAACTCTTTGCTATATTTAAAATTTGATTTAAAAAATAACAGTAGCTTAACATTTCTTGAACTCCTTTTATATGCTAAGTGCCTTATAAATATTGTTTCTAGTCTTTAGAATCCTATCAAGTAAGTGTAACTTTACAAATGGGGAAATGGAAGGTCTGAGAGGATAAGTAACTTGCCGAAGGCTGAACTTAACACCTGCTAAATACTGTACCTGGGCAACCTGTTGCTAAGTCTGATTCTCGTTGGTGCTTTCTGTCATGTTCCCCCACATCACCAACATTTATTATTAATACCTTTACAAAAACTTAGAACATTGGAAAAATAAACAATATACTAACCATATTGTTTTTCAGACTTTTTTTGAACCATGATCCGTAAGCAGGTTTTAATACTGTAACCTAGTGTGTAGCCCAGTACACAGACACACTCCTGCATAGAAACAAGTTTCACAAAACCTTCACATGTTTAATGAACTGTGTTCTATTTGATTCCATCTTAGTATGCGTTGTAATCCAAAGTTTGAAAAAGAGAGCTGGAACAAAAATGGCATCGGATCAGAATGAAAACAAAAATAGTTGTAGTTCTTGCAACTATTTGCCTGTCCATAAAATGAAGGGAAGGGGGAATAGGGTTATGCCCAAATTACTCTTGACTCTTTTCCTACCCATTAATTTTGTGTGTGTGTGTGAAGGAGGTGGTACTAGCTTCTAGAACTGTGCTTAAATAAAATTTAAAAATTCAGTTCTCCTGGGCTTCCCTGGTGGTGCAGTGGTTGAGAGTCCGCCTGCCGATGCAGGGGACATAGG